AGAAGAAAAGCAAAATATACAGGAAACAAGAAATGGAAAATTATTTGTTGACGACAACATGTATGTTGATGTGCTTGATTGAGCCAATATACAGTGTATTCTGGATGGAAAAACTCATTTTGTATTCTGTAATGAAGTCCAGTGAATGAATGTAAATAAATAAATTTAAATAAAATTGAAAATAGAAAAAGAGTCACTGTGCTCAGGGAAGCCAAAGTTTGACTCCTCTCTAGGTAATTTTCCAAACCCAGGGTTGGTTTGACCGTAAGCAATGTCGCCTCAGAACAGAGTTGTCTCATCTCGCCGTATCATGCTGCCAGGGAAATGGAGAAAGTTAACTGCAAGTCAGATCCACAAGCAGGAGATAGCTATAAGAGCTACTGGAAGTGCTTTTCCCTTCTCAGTACTTCTCAGTACTTCTCAGAGTAGCTATTTATAGACGTCAGAGTGTGAAGAGAAGTGAAATGCTCCAGATCTCTCTTGAGCACGTCTGTGTACCCAGCATGCACCACATGACTGTGGCTGCTCTTCCCCCGACTAAGCCCATGGTTAGTGGAGCCGGAAGCCACAGCCTGGGAGTTCCTGTGTAAAGCTGAAGCTCAGCTGGACCGGTCAGTTCTGGCTCCCAGGTGTTGATACCAAACTGTAGATTTATTCAGTAGTTTAAATATTCTCTACATTGCAAAAATACATAAAGGTACAAAGATTAAAATGTGAGACATTTACAGACCACTCGTGGATTCGTCTGTGGAGTGGAAAAGCCTACGCAAGGTGCTCAGTCACAGTTGTAATTGTTTAGGGAGCAAAGCACACGTTTACATGGCTCAGCCTGTTACTGATCTCACAGAGGGGTAGGGTCAGGTGGGGTGTGGGGTAAGCAATCACTACTAGAAGCACAGTCATCTTCCCTACAGAACCATGACGTGACACGTATGTTTTATTCCTGTTCTACCGCAGGCAGCATCTCCTACCAGGGCGCTCAGCATCTGAGCCTGACGCCAAGTCAAACAAGCACGTCAAAGGCCCTCAGGTAGTGTCCCATATACAACTTCTTTTTCTTATTATTTTTTATTTTTATTTTATATGTTCAATCACTATATATCACTTAGCTTATGACAATATTTACAAGGGAAAACATAGACAAAATAAAACTTACTCAGAATAAGTCACTAGAAATAACTACTGTTAAATAAAGTTTTACTATATTGCTTTTTAATTCTATTTTTCATGTTCTAAATGAGGTTATATTGTATAGACCACTTCATATTTTGCTTTTTTAAATTTGCTTATTTTATTTTATTTTATTTTATTTATTTTTTACTGTTTTTAAATTTGACCAGAGAAAGATGGAGGGGGAAAGAGAAGGGGGGGGGCGGTAAGAAAGCAAGCCTCCAAGTCTAGGACTCAAACTGTGGTTGGCTATGTGGGAGTCCAGCACCCCAACCACCACACCACCTGCCAGCATCCCATATTTTGTTTCTTTTGAAGCAAAAATATGACTTAGAGAATTTGCCCTATTACTAAAACTCCAGAAAAAACATTATGGCTGCATAATATTTTATCATAGGAATAAACCAGGGTCACTAAATATTTTCTGCAAAATGCAGAGAGTAAATATTTTCAGCAACTAAATATTTTGGGCAACTTCTCATCTCTGCCTTTGTATTGAGAAAGCATTCATATGCAGTAAGTAAACCAATTGGCATAGCTGTGTTCCAATAATACCTCACTTACAAAAACAGGTGGTGGGCTGGATTCGGACTGTCTGCTGTAGTTTGGCAAGGCCTGAATAGACTTTAATTCACTTAAGTATGCTCTTCTCCAATATTTGTGTAACCTCAGCTCCTCTGCTGCAGTAAGACTACATCAGATATTTCTAAATACAGACCTCCTTATTAGTAAGTTTTCAAAGGCAGACTCTACCATCTACCCCTGCCTAGAGCCCTTTAACAACCTCGGACACCTATAATCAAGTTCACACTGAGCTGCCCATTGGTTGTCTACCTTCTCTCATGCCCCCTGCCAAGCTCACCCAGCTTGCAGAGGGCTCATACACACAACTGGTCCACAAGCCATGCCTATTTGCACTGTCCACCCAAATCTTGAGGCCCTTCTTATGTTCTGCCTGTGACCAGCCCTGTGAAGACGTTCTCCAGTCCCGGAGAGTTGACTCTCCTTGGAGCCCATGACCCTGCAGCACCTGTTGTTGCAGGACGGCTTTGATAATGTCCATGTTCTTGGTGTTTCAGAAAAAGAATTGAACAAAACACACCAATAGTGAAAGCAAAGGGTAGTTTATTAAATAAAAGTGAAAGTACATTCCCAAGAGATCGGAGTGGGCTTTCTCAGTGAAGGAGTGGCTCAAGGGCCCTGGCAGTTATAGTCTATGAGACGTGTGTGTGTGTGTGTGTGTGTGTGTGTGTGTGTGTGTGTGGGGAGGGTTTTTTTCTGCACTTGCACTTGCCAGAAAGACAGAGAGAGACAGAAAGTGAAAAATCACCCCCCAGGGGGTATGGCCTCACTGCAATCCCATCTCCATTCTCCTCTCAGGATCTTGGGCACGCACCTGGTGTAAGTTTAAGCCACCAGGTCTGGGACTCGAACCGTGGTCAACTACATGGGAGTCCAGAGACATAGCCATTACGCTAACTGCTGGTCCCAGAGGCTTATGATTTTTTTTAATCTAGGTAGTATCAGTTGATCATTGGTTGGGCCCACTGATTATTCTCATCTCATTGGCTATATCAAACATGGCTTAATCAACTAGACATCACCCACTGGAAATCTGCCTACAGTACCTTGGCCAGGGAATTTTCTGCCCTGATCAGTTTTTCTATCTAGACAGTTTTCCAACTAGACAGATGCTCTAGCCCCTTTGCCTGCTTCCATTTGCTAGTTTTCTTCTGCTTCACTATCACCTTAGGGTGGTGGTGTGGTGGTATGTCTTCCTGTTGTTGCACCCACTGTCCCATCCTCTGTCCCTCCTCTGATAACAGTATGGGCAGACAGACAGTACAGGCAAGTGAGCAAAGATGAGTTTGGTTATACATGAAGCTGTCTGAGTAGACTTTGAATCAGATGTGATAGAATGATAGCAAACAATTGCCTTGAAAGAGTTTAACTTTCAGTTCCCAAGATAAGGGACAGGCATAGCTAGTCAGGAAACTGAAGGAGTAAGGGTTCCACGGGGCACACAGCTCAGGTCCTGCTAGTTTGAATGCTTTCTGTGGAGTCTAGATATTGATTGGGAATATAAGAATTAGGTAAAGGAGGTAGTTGGGAATTTGGACCTTGGGTTAGTTGGTTTGCATATGAAAGGTGTATTCACAAACAAATAGCAAGGCCCCAAGATGTCAGACCATCCTAAAATACAGAAAATTAAAAAATAGATTTATGTAGTAGAAAAACCCCAGCAACAGAACCACAGCCCTCAATAGAGCCTACAAGCTAGGTCTAGGTTGGACAGCTGATTTAGGCTTTATCACCCTAAAAGGCATAATCAAAAGCTTGCTATGGAAGCTTCCAGAACTTTCAACATGCTGAGGGTACAACCTAAAGGGACCTTGACACTTAAGGAGTAGGGCTGAAGAGGGACAGGGAGAGGGGAGGAGCCCATATGGGCTGGAGCTGCCTGGTGAGTCAGAGTTGGAAACCATGAGAAAGTAGACCATGAGTCAAAGTTAACCTTGGGAACTATGAAGATAAGTCTGGTGTCAAGAGGAAATGAGAGGTCAGCAAAGACCCTGAGCTCTCTTCCTTTTTTTTTTTTTTTTTTTCTTTTCTTTTTTCTGTTGAGGTTCTTACTATTATTGAGCCTGTGAAAAGGTAGATTGTACCTTTTGGCTTCTGTCTACACTACACAAGGAGGGCCCAATGGGAGGGTCCACTGACAACAGTAATGGCAGCCATCCTCTTGAGGTTTGGCTTACCATCATCTTGGCCAGAGAAGGCCTCTCTCAAGAAGCTCCCTGCAGGGGATGTTGTAATACAGTCACTGCCCATATGAACATCAACCCTGGCACAGTAAGGCCTTTGTTGTCCTGGGTACTTTCGAATCAATAGATGGCTTTTAAAATTACAAAATGGTTAATGTTTGAGTCACCATGTCATCAAAGACATTCAAAGCATTCATGATTTTCTTTGTTGAATTTATTACTAGGATTCCACCACTGCACATCCCAACATCACAGTTGCCAGGTAGAGCAGGAAGAGGGGGCTCTCCCAGCCTTGGGAGCTCCCAACCCCTGGCACCCAGGCATCCAATCAGCATCTCAGGCCTGCTGCAGAGGCAGTATTTAGGCAAGTTCTCAGCTAACTTTGAAAAGTAAATATTTCTCATGGAAAAGTACATGTATAAGAGAAACTTTTAAAATAAGTACACATGATTGTGGCACAGACAAAACTTTAAATGTTCTTTTATTTTTTTTTTAAGTGTACTTCATGAGAGAGAGAGAGACTGGGACCTCCAGCATGGTCTTGTCATAACATAATCCTTTACCCAGATTTCCAGCCAGCCAGAATCACAGGTGCATCTATGGGTGTGCCTGGCATGATCAGGTTGATTGACCCAGGTCCTAACCCCAGGCTTTCCCATACGGCTCTAATATTGTGCAGCAGCACCTACCACTTGTGCCACCATAGCCAGGCCAAATATTCCAAATATTCTTGGGAATGTTCTTTCTGAGATTTTCACTAGTAGTTCATAAATTGACTAATGTTAATTTTTATTCTATTGTGAATTTTAAATAATATCTTAAGTACATTATTTTTTAGAGGTTTTTGCTATAGAGTGTGTGCGCTCACCAGAGAGAGGCAGAGAGATAAAAAGTGAGAATCACCCCCAGGGGGATGGCCACACACACACGCACATGGTGTGAGTTTAAGTCACTGGGTCCGGGACTCAAACCTCGGTCAACTACACGGGAGTCCGGCAACATAGCCATTAGGCCAACTGCTGGTCCCTTAAATATATTATTAATATTCCAAAAGGATTAATGTAGCATCTGATTTTTTTTGTAATAATTATTTATTTTATTTGTTGTTATTATTTGTTAATTTGACCAGAAAGAGACAAAGAAAGGAAAAGTGAAAAAGAAAGCCACCAGGTCCAGGACTTGAACCATGGTCGACCATATGGGAATTCAGAACCCTAACCAGCACACCACCTGCCAACCCTACAATCTGAATTTTTTTAAATGTGTATTTAGAGGGCCACCAGGTAGTCTGGTGGTTAAGGCCCTGGATTCCCACATGGCTGACTGCTGTTCAAATCCCAGATCTGGTGGCTTGAAAATCACACCAGGCAAATGTGCGTATGTGCCCAAAATCCCAAGAAGAGAATGGAAGAGAAAGGATTTCAGCATGCCATCCTCCCTGAAGGGTGATTTCTCACTTTCCCCTGCTCTCTCTCTGGTAGGCTCACATGTCCTATAGCAAAAACCTAAATATTTTTTTAAGTGAACTCTTTTCTGCCAAGTTATTTTCCTTATTTGACACTTGCGTTTTCATCTTCAACAGTGTAAAGTTCTGAAGTCATGTCAAAGACACAGTTAACATCTTTTCATTATGACTCTCCATGCTTCCTCTAGGATCTGCTCACCTCGGGAGATTTACACAAGAAGGATGAGCACTTTCCTGTCATCCCTATTTGTGGATTTTCCAGCTTCTCAGTCAGGCCATCAGCAAATATGCATTAGTAGGCAGATTTAATCATATGTTTTTTTTCTTGATGAAATAATAAAGTAATTGAGTAAAGTACTTTTCTGATTATCTGGGGTAACATAGGTGACACATTTGATACTCTGTTCCTCTTAACACCCTAGGACTTCCTCAAAATGTCGGTGTTGCTGGGCTGATCCTGTGATTAAGGACTGTGCATTGGGACCTGGAGCCCACATGGCTGAACATAGTTCAAATCCCAGCCCCAGCAGCTTGTAAAAACACGTGGGCACAGGTACATGTGTGCCCCAAATCCTGACTGGATGAAGAAATGGGAGGAAAAGGATCATGACATAACCATGCCCGATTTGAGGGGAGTGCTTTCTTTTTCTGTCTCTCCCTCGCTCCTTCTCTCTCTGAAAAGTGTGCACATCCTCTGGCAATAAATTTTTTGTTTTGAATTTTTAAAGACCAACCAAAAAAGAAAAAAAAATGTTGATATTGGAGGCAGATGAGCCACCTATTAGTTCACTGTTAGTCTCTGGAGAGAGAGCAGTCTGTGAGCACGTGGGCCCAGGACATGGAGCATAATGCACTGGAACCTCCACACAGGGAAAACCAGGCAGTTCTGGTCAACTCTGTTGTGTCCTTGTGCTAGCTGATGCTTATCGCACAGTTCTGTGCAGTGCACTCTTGTCTGGAATATGTTACTGTGTTCAGTGGATGAGTCTCTGTCTCCAGAGATGAATTCTGTACCTGAACTCACCTTACAGGTGAGGCTTCTGTGCATGAAGCCTCTTCCTCTGTCCAGCAGATGGGACCCTCCACAAGACTCTCACTCACAGCTCACAAAGAAGGCTCTTCAAACTCAAACCCTGTATCTTTCCCATTATTTGAGATCTCAGCAGGTTGGAAAAGAGACCTATGGGGTTAATTCTAATCCTGTGTTTTCTTTACCTAAAATCGTCAAAGAACTTCATATGTGGATCTCACTTGGGTCAGTCCCACAGCAGGTATATGTAACTTGGAGCAAGAAGGCATGACCACCACCTTTCTGGGGACAGGAAAAGACCCCAGCAGGCTGCATGTTAAAGACTGCTTGAGGTGATCATGCTATCGAGGCCACATCGGGGCCTTTCACCTGGACCCTCTAGACAGCAAGATGCCTGTGGCTGCTGGCAAAAAAGATGGCCGCACCCCTGCTTTTGTTGTCCTTCTGGAAGGTGTCCCAAGAATCCCTGATGTCAGATGTCAGAAATCATGTAGTATGTGCATGCTCTAAGTTGAGATGCCTGGGGCTGCTGGCAAAAAGATGGCCGCACCCCTGCTTTTGGTGTCCTGGAAGGTGTCCCAAGAATCCCTGATGTCAGATGTCAGAAATCATGTAGTATGTGCATGCTCTAAGTTGATTCCATTCCCCAAAGGTTTTTTAAAGGAATCGTTTTATTTATTTATTTATTATTTTAAGAGACAGATCATGAAAAGTGAGAAAGTGAGAAAGCCAGCCACCAGGTCCAGGACTCAAACCACAGTCAACCATGCGGGAGTCGAGCACCTTAACCATCATGCCACCTGCTGGCACCTCCCCAAAGGTTTAAAGTGCTATAAAGTTCCTACTTGTGGTACAAATGTTTCTTTTCCTGTGCATATTATAAAATATGTGCATGATTGCTTCAAACATTAAGATATAACCTAAATGTGAAAAAAATAACTTAATTAATCTCTTTCTCAAAGTTCGGTTCTCTCAGCTTCTCACAGAGCACATTCAGCAGTAGAATTGGTCTGGGGCAGGTGGGCTGGCTGGGGTGGCTCTGCAGAGTGGTGGTGGATGACCATCCCCAGTATGACCTGGACAGCATGACCACCTCATGGCTATGTTTCCCTGGGGGCATCCTTGAAAACTGCCAAAAATACTTTCCACTCAGGTGCAGCTAGGTGCTGCTTCCCTTTTTGGCCTTCCTGTTCTCCCCTTCAGGGGGATCACTGAGTCACTGAGCCAGGAGCTGAGTGTTGGGTCATAATTTTAAAATCTCATGAGTTTTTCTGTCACTTCATTTTTTTTAAAATTTGCTGTAGTGCACATGTACACACCAGAGAGACAGAGCAAGAGAGGGAAAGTGAGAATGCACTTGCCAGGAGTAATGGCCACATCACAATCCCTTGTCCTCCATTCTCCTATCAAGATTTTCACTCATGCACACATGCCTAGTATGTTTTTCAAGCCTCAGGTCGGGGACTTGAACCAGGTAGTCATCCATATAGGACTCAGCTGCCTTAATCTTCACATCACCTAGTTGACTCTTCACCTTACTTTTTAGACTTAAACTTTGATGCCGTAATTTCAGTATTTGGTGTGTGTGTGTGTGTGTGTGTGTGTGCACTTAAAGATTTTTTTGCCATACGGTGTGTGCACTTGCCAGAGAGAGACAGCAAGGGACGGGGAAGGGAGGAGTGAGAGATCACCCCCAGAGGGGATGGCCATGCCACAATCCCTTCTCCTCCATTCTCCTCTTGGGATTTTGGGCATTTACGCACTTGCACCCGGTATGTTTTTCAGGCTGCCAGGTCCAAGACTAGAACCGCAGAGTTGCCCACATAGTACCCAGCACCTTAACCCCCACACTACTACTGGCCCATGATCTTTATTTTTGTTGCCTTTCACTGAGGTTGTTTTCGACCAGTCTGAAGGAGTGAGGGTGTTTGCCAGGGTCAGTCCTTGTGTCTCGCTTGTCATCACTAACATCAGCTCATTTGTTTTTCAGCAATTTTCAATGGGAAAGACAAAATTAAGTAAAACATCCAGATAATTTTACAAAATCTACTCCACAGAGAGTGACAGCACTGCCAGAGTTCATTCCTGGCTGGCTGTTGGTCGGAGCACAGGTGCCCAAATTCAGCCTGGAAACAGCCATGCAGGGGCACCAGCCCATGCAGGAAAGCATGCACTGCATGAAGTCCATGGGCAGGACGGACAGACAGGAAGGCAGGACATGGAAGGATGGCACCCCACTATTCATGCATGTCCTGGGCTAGGAGGTGGGCAGCTCCGCGACCCCACAGTGTTGCTAAGCTCTGCTCTGGAGCAGGTCCTCCAGCTCAGCGGTGTCTCCTGGTCTGGCCTTGAGGCAATGGAGTGTGGTGTCATCTGTGGTCTCATGCTGCCCACCAGATGTCCACCATTTGTGCTTTTTTTATTTTCTTGTAGTTTTTTGTCTTTGTGATTCAGGGCAAGGGCTTCAGAGTTCAAATGTAACCTTGAGCCTGAGCGCCTTCCTGACGCACAGCTGAGCTTCACACAGTTCCCTGCTTCGTGAGCATTTTGACTCCTCATCTGACAGCACAGTGAGAGCCCCCTTAGGGGAGCACTTGCTAGCCAGAACCATGTGTGTTAGGGAATCCTCCCAGAAGTGCCAGGGAAGTGGACACTTTTCTCACTGTGAACTTGCTTTCTTCACTAAGCCTCTGAGTTTTAAGGAGGGAAAAATATCTTTGAGCCTAAACCTAATATTTATAGACGGAAGATTCAGAGGAAATAGTCTAGAAGGGCCTTAGCCAGGAGGGATGTCATCATCAGTGGGCTAATGGGACATTCTTCAAAAAATACTGTCTTTTTTTTGGGGGGGGGGAGGTTTTTGCTATAGGGCGTGTACACTCGCCAGAAAGCCAGAGAGAGACAGAGAGACAGAAAGCGAGAAATCACCCCCTAGTGGGGATGGCCACACCATAATCCCTTCTCCTCTCGGGATCTTGGGCATGCACACACACGTGCCCGGCGTGAGTTTAAGCCACCAGGTCCGGGACTTGAACTGTAGTCAGCTACATGGGAGTCCAGCAACATAGCCATTACGCCAACTGCAGGTCCAAGAAAATACTGTAATTCTTGTTCAAACTGACCAAAGTGTTTCCTTCAAGATGTTTAATATTAATGCTGTTGTATTCAAATTAACTGACAAAGGAGTCATTTTAGGTGCAGTGTGAGAGTATCACTTTGATGGCTGCTTGACACAGGTAAAAGCACAGGACTAGAGTCTCAAGCCGCATGTCCATCTGCCAGGAGCAGTCCCGACCTCAGCGCGCAGCCCCATCTGGTACACTAGAGGGCACTAGACTGTGAGTCCCAGGCATGCTGCTCTGGTGCAGTCCCTGAAGGCAGCTGAAGACAAAGTGGGATGAGAAGAGAACGTCGAGATTCTTTGGCTTCCAGTGAAGACAGTGCGGGACAGCACACATGGCCAGGCTTGTACATTGCTCTCTGCCAACCGCCTCCAAGTTTATCAGTGCTTCCAGGAGGACGTGGTTTAGAGAAGCAGTGGGACTGTCCCTAAAAGTGTGCCTGGTAGAGTGTTCTCTGTGCCTTGTGGGTTAGTGACCCCAAAGGTAAAGGCTGGCATTCAGCCCTCCGGGAGAGAACGTGGATGTCAGTGGCAATCACATGTTCAGAACTACGATCTTTAATTATGGAAACTGACCCTTAGTAAGTCTTTAGACCATATGCTTTTACTGGTTGTGCTGATCTCGCAAAGTGGCCCTGAAGAATTACGGGCCAGTGGTAGTGGCAGAGGTGGAAGGGCACCGCTGTGTGAGACTGGAGTCGCATGGAAGGCCCAGTTTCAGATTCTAAACCAACTTGGACACCCTGGGCACAGAGGGGCACAACTAGAGGCTGGGCAGGAGGATGGCAGCATGGGGAAACCCTGTCAAAATGTCTCTTGCTCATCCTCCCTTTCCACTAAAAAAAAAAAAAAAATCAGGGCCAGCAGGTGGTGTAGTGGTTAAGATTGCTGGATCCCACATGGATAACTGCCTAGTTCAAATCCTGGACCCAGCAACTTGAAAAACATGCTGGGCACGTGTATGTGTGCCCAAATCCTGAGAGGAGAATGGAGTAAAGGGGTTGTGGCATGGCCATCCCTCCGGGAGGTGATTTCTCACTTTCTCTCTCTCCTCTCTCTCTCCTCTCTTTCTTTCTCTCTCTCTTTCTCTCTCTCTTTCTCTGTCCCTCTCTGGTGAGTGTGCACACCATATAGTTTTAAAAAACATCAAAGTTTAGA